GCAAAGGCCCTGAGGCAGTGCAGAACTTGGCATGCCTCAGGAACAGAAAAGAGGCCATGTGGCTAGAGTGTAATGACATATAGGGCACCAGCTGTGAACAAGACACAACTCTAGTCTCCTGGCACGTTTTTCCCCCTCATTTGCTCAGACTGCTTGCTTCCTTACCATGCTATTTCCCTTTGCTTCTCAGAATCTTTCCCAGCCTTCAAGACAGGGCCTGCCCATCTCCTCCTGGAAAGTTCCCTGACTCACTCAGCTCTTAGGCACGGGGGACACGCAGTATGTGTTTGGAAGCAGGCAGCTCTGTCCATTCTCTTGCCTCCTAAGCCCGTGTTTCTCAAGGCATGGTCTTCAGACCACCTGCATCACAGTCCCCTAAAATGCTCCTAAATTTTAAAAGTGTTCTAGTGAAATATTGCATTTATACAAATAGAATAATGTATATCATACGCTCACAATCTGTTTTTAAGAATTTTACTCTTCGTGCATATTAGCTTCAGTTCTGTTTTTGGTTTTTCAAGAAATTAAACACATTGCAAATACAGGTGAAGTTTGAGTGATTATCAAAAGTTCAGATTCTGGGGCTCCAGCCTGGATCTACTCTATCAAAAATCTCTGGAAGTACAGTTGGAAATGTGCATTTTTTATGATCCATCCCCACCCCCCACTGATTCCTATGCATAGTGAAGACTGACGATTACTGATATATGCCAATTAAACTCTGCCCCAAGCAAGCAGTTTTCTGTTCTTCCTTATAGTGAACCCAGGGGTTCTCAATCTTTACTATGCAACAAAGTCACTAGGAAGACTTTTCAAAATGCAGGTGCCCAGGCTCCTCCATAACCTTGGAAATCAGACTGGGGCAGGAATCTCAGGCAACTGTATTACCAAATCCCCTAAGGTGGGTTTTCGATGGTAGCAGGGCTTGGGGTGTGGGGGAGAGTGGCCGGGGCGGGGGGGAGCAGAGACTCATCTCCCTTCTTCCATTTAAACACTCCTGGGATCATCACAGTCAGATATCGTTCCACTTGCTCTCTCCCATAATAATGTCAACAAGTATTTCTCACACCCCTGCTGGGTGCTGGGCAGAGCTGCTAGTCAGAGACATTGATCTGACATAATAAGGAAGAAGCCCTGACCCATGTCTGGGACATACTTATACTGAAAAAAAAAATTTCTTGTTTATCCGAAGTTCAAATTTAACTGGGAGTCCTGTGTTTCATCTGGCAACCGTATTTGAGGAAATGTCTTCGGCTTTTGCGAACCTCAGTTTCCCATTTGGAAAATGAGGGTGCTTGGCTAGATGACTTCTATGGATCCTTATGGCTTGAATGTTTCAGCAGTCAGTTTCAGACACATCCCATAGCTCTGGGAGCCTGCCCTCCTCGTCCCACCAGGGGGCGCCCTGACCCTCTCAGTTGCCTTGCAGGTTTATGGCTTAGGGAAGAGGAAGCTGGTCCCTTTGGCTCTGGGGGGACATCTGGAAACCAGGTTGTGAGGCCTCAATAACCCTACACCCGTACTCATCCTCTAGAACATCCCATTCAGAGAGAAGAGGAGATCTCATAGTCTCTGAAGGTGAGACCATCTCATCCAGCTCACCCTCTTTAGAAGGGGAGATTGGGACCCCTATAGGAGAAGGCACTTGTCCAGGCTGACACTGCTCTCCTAGAAACTAGAATCCTGACTTGCCATTCAGGGCTCCTTTACCTCCTTGGAGTGCCCTTATTTTTCTGTTTTCTGCTGGACATGTTTAACCCTGCCGTCCTGTAGCCAAAACCAATGCAGACAGCAGGACGCCCTGCATAGCCTGACTGAGACTTCTGAGGCCCTTCACAAAGAGAGTGTGGCCTTGAAGCAGGAAATCTTACAACTGAGAGAGGACCAGGAACACAGGATCAGTCTAGGCCGTGGGGAAAGGGCAGGTCTCTCACATTTAAGTTGGAATGATGACGATAATGATGATATTGATCTTCCCCTGTGTCAGACACGATGACCTGTGAGGCAAGAACCTCTATCATCAGGATTTTACAGATGAGGAGACAAGCAAGCTCAATGTTAGCTCATTGGACTAAAAGGGTTCAATCCAGTTCTGCAGCAGATGTTGGGAAGGAGGGAGGCTTCTGTTAACAGGGACCTAGATGATCTGCAAAAGACCCACACCCCATTCATGGTGAAGAGGAATTGCATAAGGGGTGGGATACCCACCACTTTGGCTCAGGAGACGATGTTAAGAGACTTAAAGATTTGGCATGAATTAGCATTGAATTCATTACGACTCAATTCTCATTTGGACCATCTGATTAGCAAAGAGGAAGTCTCTTAGATTTCTTCTAACAAGAAACAGAGCATCCTTTAAGCCCAGGGCATATGTGTAACATTGATTCATGATTGTGTAACATTGTTTTTTCATTGTAATTATTTTTTATTGTATTTATCTTTAAGGTTTATCTCGATTTATGGTAAATGATACTGATTTTCCAGCCAAAGTAATGATATCATTTCTTTTAAATGGTTCTGGTGTTTTTTAAATAAGTGATTTGATTTAAAGGGGTAGAAAGCACAGATCAAAGGAGGATGTGGAAACACTGCCTTTAAGGATTCTGGGTTCCAAGGGCCCTGTTAATTCAGCTGATCAGTTTTTGCCACAGACAACAGGGGTGCAGCCCCACCCTGCCCTCCCAAGGCCATGGGCTTATTCATGCTTCATGCCATTCTTTGATGCTGCTTTTTCCTTGAAAACTCCGAGGAGCTCCCTATAGGGAGTCATCCAGATATGGGGGAGAAAGCTGTGTGTTCCAGTTCTCCTTTATTTCATTGCCTCATTCCATAACCAAGTCACTCAACCTCCCTAAACCTCAGTTTTCTCATCTGTAAGTTGGTGACAGAGCTGTTATAATAGTGGGTGCTGGGTAACGCAGGGATGGTCTGCCCCAGGCCAACCAGGGCATAAGGACTACATCCTACCATCCTTGAAGAATGTCACATCTCCCTCCTTACCTGAAGGAATACCCCATTCAATCCACGCTCCATGATAGCTCTGTGCTTTATATCCTTTATAGCATATATTTTCTACCTGAAGCAGTACCGTTAATGAAAGCTCCAGGGCAGCAGGGGCCATGCCCGCCTTCCTCATGAGAACAGAGGGCATGTCTAGCACACTGCAGGCACCTGATAAATGTCATAGAATGAATGATAGCCAATGCCGAGGTTTATCTGTGCTTTAGCTTTGCCCAGGTTCCTAGAGATTAGGAGACTGGCGTTGGGTTTGCATTCCTCAAATGGCCAAGACCGAACTGGCCAACCTCTCCCTACTCCTCTCTCTCCTGTTGTATAGAAAAGAGAACAACAGGATACGGTTTGATTTTTTTATGAGTTGTATTATTTTAGTAATTTGAAAATAATTTCAAATAAGAGGGAAAAAAACAGCTCTGGGGTTGGCACGTGAAGACTCTGCTCTGTGGCCCATTGTAATGGAGCACACTTTTTGGGACTGTTTTTCTGTCTCTAAGGGGAGTCTTGGAACACCATCCTGAAATATCCCACGAACATGATGAACATGCATGAGCTTTGAAAAGTTCTGTGGACTTACGATGCCATCTTCCTTCCACGGCCAGAGTGTTCTAGTGTGCTTTTTAAAGCAGATCCAATCCTCCACCTCCATCCCTTATTCTCTTTCTCTATCTGGTTTAAAACACTCCAGTATCTTCCCATTACACAAAAAGTGAAATTTAAACTCCTTACCATGGCCTACAAGGTCTGCCCACCCCTCCAGCTTCATCCACTGTGACCTGCCCCTCATTTTGTGCACCAGCCACACTGGCTTAGGGCTCCTCGTTCTCCCCATCTATCTCAAGACCTTTGCACATTCTGTTCCCTCTGCCTGGAATGCTTTTCCCTCCCTCTTCTCTTCCCCATCTCCTCCACCCATACACTTTGTTTCTTCTCTTTTTTTGTGACTCAGCTCAAATTTTCTCAAGGATGCTTCCCAGAGGCCCTAGAACAGCCCCATCCAATAGAACTTTCTGCAACGATGAAAGCGCTCCAGTCTGCCCCGTTCAACAGGGTCATCAGTAGCCACATGTGACTCTCAGGCACTTGAAGCATCTAGTGTATCCTGAGGAACCGAATTTTTAATTTTAATTAATTTAAATTTAAATCTAAGTATTCGCAAATGGGTGGTGGCTACCAAATGGGACATTATGACTCTAGGATAATGCTGTGTCCCCCTGTTACACACAATCGTGGTTTCTTATATTCCTCCTTCATTGCACCTACCACAGCTTGTAATTTATATTTAGCTGTGCAATTGTTTATTCCTCACTAGACCGTAAGTTCCAGAAGAACAAATGCTTTTTCTGCTTTGCTACAGTTGTGTCTCTAGCACCTGGCATGGGACCCGGTACATAGTAGGTACATCATAAACATTTGTGGATGGATGGACGGATGGATAAATGAATGGTTAGTGAAAAGAGATACTTGCTTAGCTTGGTGCTTCTGCTCATGAAGTACAGTAATAAAAAGGGTCAGCCCACAGGTCATAAAATTAAAAGTAAGCCAAATTTGTGCTTATAAGAACCATACATTGCCTGTGTATAAATAAGCCTCTGTGTGAGCACGTGTGTGCACAAAAGCATAATAATGCAAAGGTTTGCATTTGTGCAGTTATATACAGACACATATGTCCCATGTCTGCGTGTCAGGGTAATGAGGTCACTAAGACACATGCAAAATCACTCAGGAAGGCAGTTTCTATGTCATTACTTTTTATTTTGAAAGATTTGTCAAACTCTTCACATCATGGCGAGAGTTTGCATGATTAATAAGAAGCAGCTTTTTCATGAAATGCTTGGAGGTGAACGTTCTCAGCCTGTGAGATCTGACCATCCCATTGACTTTGAAGTTTCTCTTGATTAATAGAAAGAAAAGAGTGGGGAGGGGAGAAAAGAAGGAACATGCTAGAAACTGAGGGCAAGACCCCCTCCCCGTGACAGCCATCCAAGTGTGGAGAATACAAAAAAAAAAAAAACCATTCACCAACTCCATTTTTTCTATTTTACACCTTTCTACACCTGCCTCACTCTTGATTTTGGTCTTCCTGGTCGAAACAGCCTCCCAGTCCTGAATCTCCCCAAAACAGAAGGGCGAAAGCCTTGTGAGATGTGGTGATCAACCCCCCAGAGGCGTGTTGGATTCCAGAAAATCGATGGTCCACAGCTCCCAAAAGTTTGAACAAACAGCCTAATGTGCAAAGAAATGGCACTAGAAAATGAGGGGGAAAATGATGAGGAGCTGGTTTAAGTAAGAGCTTATATATATTTTCGAAACACAGCCTCAGGTTCTTACTCTCATTTAAAGCCCCAGAGAAACAAGACTGGTTATCTGCGGTTCTGGTTGGTGGGTTTTCCAGGAATTTCTCCTACCACGGGTCCTCTAGTCCCAGAAACATCCTTGTACATCACATGTCTGTTACTTTCCTTTGCCCACCTTCAGGCCATGTGGGGAATACCCCCTGGCAGCCAATACCCTGAAATAAAAATTAACATAAAAGTCCGATTTGGTGAGTATTAGTTTCAAACAGAGAAATAGGAAGTCTGAAGATGCGATGTGTTGAAGGCAGATGTGAGCAGATCAGAGTTCCCACCCATTTGCCACTAAGACAACGGGCAGCGCTTCAAATGGCCAGAGGAAAACGGGGCTGTTAGTAGGTGAGCGAGATGACTCGTTAGTCGCTGAGCAAGAGGCCTTGATAGCAGAGTTACAGCAAAGAATGTCATGACTTGGGTTACAATTTCCATGTTTAGCACCGTTAATGTCTTCATTTAAATCTATATTAGCACCTTGTCCCCAGGCAGAACAACAAACCATCCAAACATTTTAAACATTGGGGGAAATGGGAAGGGAAAGGTCAAAGAGAGAATCCGGTAGTACAGGAAGGCGTGGATTTAGATCACGAGATCCTTGTCGATATCCTCTGTAAACAAGAAAAGAGAGCATGTGGATGAAGACATTCTTTCCCAGGAGTCAGTTGATCCCACCCATCCTCAGGGCCAGGGGCCAGGTGACCAGTCCAAGGTCACCCGGGAAGTCAGTGACCAGGAACTTTGGTCTCCCTGTCTCTGTCACTTATACACTTACACACATGCCAAGTTGTAATTCCTGTTTCCTCTCTAGGTGCCTCCCAGTTCCCAAAATAGTGCTAGGCACAGAGTGAGTGCTAATAAAAAGGACGGACCGATAGAGAAGAATCAAGAAGTCACGTGAGAGAGCAAGGCCCACCCAGACAGGCAGAGCAGACGGGAGTTCACTAGGCACAGAGAACAAAGACGGGCAGAGAGGACGGATACACGGATGAGGAGGAAGGAGGAAGACAGCAGCCCCACGGCTCAGACACTCACGCTCCTTGATGCCGAAGCAGCCGGCCCACTCATCCAGAGCGATGTACTTGTCGTTGTCCAGGTCACAGGTCTCGAAAAAGCGAGTGGTGCAGTGCTCCATGGGGATGAGGGGTGCACGCAGTGGGGCCAGCTCGGTGTGGGACAGGTACCTGCAGGGCAGTGGGAAGGGTCTGAGGCGTGGGAAAGCCACTGACCTGCTGTGGGACTTAGAGCACAGCACTGCTCCACGCTGAGCCTCAGTTTTCCCGTCCATGAAAAGGGGAGGAGTTGACCATAATGTCTAAGGGCCTTTCCAGTTCTGAGGTCCCCTGGGCTCATGACAAAAGTCTCTTGGTGCATTTATTGGTTGCTAATTGGTTGAGTGTTGGGGGGCACAGAAACTTCAAATGAAAATATTCAGCACCTCTCCTATTGGTAGATCAAAATCCGATATGAAACAGCAATGTACGTTTCCTATAGACACACATTTATAGAGATGCAAATGCAGAGAAAAGAGTCTAAAAGAAACACAGTAAAATGATGACAGTGCTGACTTCTGGGAAGGAGCATAGGGAAGGACTGGGATTGGAAGGGAAGGTCAAAGGGAGCGCTAACCTTTTTCACAGAGCTTTAGTTTTTCTGGTACATCATGTGATGTGTGAGAGGGAGGCCTCACTCCTCTCCCACTGTCCTCCATTCCTATTCCAGATGGCCCTGAGTCCAGAGCACATGTGTGATGTTTTTTCTTGTTCCCCAGAGCCCTCAACGAGTTGTCCTCAAAACACTTCCCCAAGGGGCTGCACGTTACTCCAATTTTCTCTTCAATCCCCAGACCCTCCATGCCCCACCCGAGCCGCCCCCTTCCCTTTCATTGTATACTGGTGGGAAAACTGAGGCCCCGGGAAGGGTAGGGACACAGGCAAGGTCACCATGAAGCTCTGGGACAAGAAGAGGGGGAGGACGGATCCCCTGGCCCAGGCCGGAATCCTGCCAGATGCGCAGTCCTTGCAGCTCCACCTGGAAGCCTCCCTCGGGGCCCCTTCCTTGTGAGGGGGTTCAGCTGCTCGGCCTGAGCTCCAGATGTCCTTCCGACTCCCTCCCCACACCGCCTTCTCCTCCCCCAGTGAGTGACTCAGTTGGATCTCAGCCATGAAAAGAGCCTGGGAGAGAAGCAGCAGGGAGTTTCCCAGAGCTCAGGAGACCCCGGCCACCTAGGATCCCCGACAGGGTGGCTAGACTCCAGGCACACAGGCTGAGGCCAGAGCGAGGGGTGAGCCTCCTGGAGAGGAACGTCTCTGGGCACAATGAGCTCCCCAGGCATGTGAACAGGGTGCTGTGCTCCTCCAGGACATAGAGAAGGCTGTGGTGAGGGTGACAGCCTCTGCTCAGCCACAGATGGCCAAGCCACCGCCGCAGCTTTCGTGAGCCTTTTTAACTTTCTCCTTCGATTGTGAGACTACGCAGATCATCCCTCACGGTGTGAGTTGCCGAAAGCAAGGACTGTCGGTTCTGATTGCTGTTAAGTCCCCTACCTAGAATAGTGCTGAGTACATTATAGACACTCCGTAAGTGTCTGTTCACTGACCCACTGCCCGTCTGTTCTGCAATGCAGTGGCACAGCCCTTCATAACTCATTCGGACAAGAGGCAAGAGCAATCAAACCAAGGGCTTACTATGGAGATGGGACTGGCTCTGTGAACTTTTAAGAACTCTTAGGTCAAGTCTGCCTTGTTGAGGCTGAAGGACTATTAGCATATAGGCCGCCCCACCCTTGGCCTGCAGCACTCCCTTGGGAGTCTGGCACTCCTTTGCAACTCACTCTCCCTCACCTAATAGATACCCAGTGTCTAACGGTTTTCTTCCTCCCAGTTCTGCATTCTTTCTCTGGATGCCTGTTCTTTCCCACCCCGGCCTCTAGGCCAACCGTGGGCTCCAGGGCTGGGAGCATCAGAGGCTGCTGAGAGGTTTCTGGCCATCAGTAGCGCACCTATCAGCTCTGCCCCGTGACTGCACTCCAGGGCAAAGCCAGAGCAGCCCTCGCCGATCCTGAGGGCCTGGGGTCTTACCCGTCAATGGGGTGCTGGTCCAGCTGGCCAAACTGCCAGTGCACGGGGAAGATGTACATGTTGTAGTTCTTCTCGAAGTCCCGGGCCAGCAGCTCCACAGGGTGGTCTCCAGCCTCCAGGCGCTTCTCATTCTCGTGGATCTTCTTCACCTGTTGGAACAGAGACCTGTGTGACAAACGGTCTAGGGAAACTGTCCAGCCAGACAGGAGGCCAGAGCAGGCAGAGATCAGCCAACCCCAAGGTTCAAAATGAGGGAAAAGAAGTGGCACAGATGGGTACCAGCATCTCATCCACGAAAGTAAAAGCCTGGAGTGATCTCAGACAGTTCGCTATAGAGTTGCCACATCAAAATGACCTGAGGAGTGTGTTAAAATGCAGCTTCCTGGGCCTTCACAGAGACATTGATTCAGTCGGCCTGGGGTGAGGCCCAGGAAGCTGTACTTTATTAGCACTCCAAGTGCTTAATATGTCTATTTAAGTTTAAGGTCCATAGACTCAGAAGGAAAAAAGAATAGGGTTATTGCATCTCTTGTTAACACTGGACTAAGCAAAGTGAGCACATCTCCTCATTACAGAACTTCTCAGAGCCTTTAAGACGAGAATGTGCACTACGAGCCTTCGAAGGCAATGAGAAGTGTGTGTCCTAGTGCCCAGGATAAAAGCACTTGGCAGAGCAGGGATGTAAGCTTATGCTTGGTGGCCTAGTTCTAGGACTGGGACTGTGGATGTCCACCAGCCCATGGCCAGGAGCCAGCCATCCAGCTCAGGGCCAGCCAGGCTTCCTGGGCCAGGCTGGCAAAAGGCTACTTACTCGCAGCTTCTGCTTCTCGGTCAGAAGGTTGTTGTCTTCATCCCTTTCGTACAGAGTGACCAGGACATTCTTGAGCCAGTCCCTCATACGCAGAGGGAATTCAGTCAGCTCAGAGTCCAGGCATGGGGGGATGTCTAGGGTCCAGAACACAAGGGTGGTCAGTGTAGACCCCGAATCTCCCTGCCTGAGGGCCAATATGCTGGCTGAGCCGCTCACCCCGTGCCCTGCCTTCCTCCTACAACCACTTCCATCAGTGACCTCGGCACACTGGCTCCGCCTCCCTGGGTCACAGCGTCTTCACCCGACATGAGCAAAGGAGATTGCGTGTGGGGAAGAAAGCTCGGCACGTGGGAGAGTGTGAAGGCACGTCTGCTGCTCCCGCGGCCTCGCCCTGGTCTGCTAAGGGAAGCGGTTCACTCCAGTGGTGCTAGCACCTTTCTGGGTGATGGGCCCTGGAAGCAGAGGCCCAGGACCTGCACTGGCGATGTCCACTGTTAGGTGTTTGAAGCTGGGAAGCTGAGGAATAACATCAATCTACATTCCCAGCTCAGTGGGAGTGATGAGGTGGGGGTTGGGGGGAGGTCAGCAATGTTTACCCACTGGAACATTCTTAGTAATAATAATTCTATCCTGGTCTTTAGAACTTAGAATCCCAGAATGTCGGACCTGGAGATTTCATCCAAGTCCACCCTCCTGATGGACCTATTAGAGGTCAGTGTGGAGAAAAGGGACTTGCTCAAGGCCACATTATCAAATCTCATTCAGTATCCGGGGCTCAGGGGTCTGTCCCTCCCTTATCCTTGGACTTATGGAAAGCACCCTGTGTGGTGAGGACCACTACCTTCTTCACCAGCAGCTGGGGAGGGGGAGAGAACATCTGTGATGGAAACACTAGGAGTTGGAGGGAGTAAATAGGCCCCAGAGGACAGTAGAGCCACTTGGTGAAAGGTTCCTTGGCACGCTGCTCGGTCTCACTGCCCAAGAATTCCTGCAGCCCTCCCCCAGCCCTCCTTCTCCAGGCCTGTGCCTTATTTCACAGCCCAGGGTCCATTCGGAGCGTAACTGGGAGAGTAGGGCTAACCACAGGAGAACCCGGTTCCCCCTCCATCTTTCTGCACAGCTAAGTCAGGTGAGTGGCTCTCTCCAATATTTTAAAAACTCTTTATAGGCCAGGTGGAACATCATTTTTGCTTTACACGGTTGAAGTGGGAAAGATGTGGGTTAGCCCCTTAGAAGAACTTCCTCATCATTAGAGAAAAGAAATTCTCCCTGCTCTTGTGCTTCCATGACTGTTCAGTCCTGCTTGTGAGATGTCCTGAGTGCAGAGTTGACAGGGCCCTACCCACAGACAATCATCATTTTATAAATGGGAACTCCAAAGCTCAGGGAGGGGAAGAGACTCGCCCAAAATCTCACATCACGAGAGTGGCAGAGTCAGCATCAATGCCAGTTCAGTGCTCTCTCCCCAAAAAAGGAGGCTGGAGGAACCAAGGAGACTCACATTTGCAGGATCCAATATAGTCCAAGTGGAGTTTGTGTCCCTTCTTGGTACCCTCCAGGGTGCATTTGGTGGCAAAGAAGTGGCAGGAGGAGTCAAAGGTCTTGTTGTCATTGCTGCACACCTGTGGGCAAAGCATAGAGCACCTCACCTTCATTCCCAAAGCCCTTCACTGCTACCATTTTTGCCCATTTCAGAGATGGGGACACTGAAGGCCAAGCAAGGAACATGATTAGCCCAAGGTCATACAGTGAGTTAGTGGTGAGGCTATGACAAGAGCTCAGTCTTTGGGCTCCCAGGCCGATGTTGGTCTTTGAGCAGAGGCATGACTGATTCGGGCCTGAGATATGGGAAAACAAACCTAGAAGATATGGAAGAGGTGAATTAAAGATGGGGGTGGCCCAAAGGCAGAGTGTGTAGAAAAGAGAACATAGCAGGAATCGGTATCCTTAGAAAGGCCTGCTTGTAAAATTGGTCCTTGGCTGTCATTTGAGACCTTAGCTGGTAAACAGTTCCCTGCACTGTGATAAAACTTTCCACAAATGGAAAGGTGTCTCACTGTGCCGAGACCGCTCGTACAGACAATGTGGTTTATGCCGAACATCTGCTTTCCTTCTGAGAGTCTGGAATTTGGGTGCATGCTGCACAGAGGGTGCCTATGTGACCAGCCTGCAATTAAAACTTTGGGCACTGAGTCCGTAATGGGCTTCCTTGGGCAAAAACATAGCTCACGTGCGGCTGCATATCTGTAGTT